CTTGCTCTTCTACCTTTCACTGTGGGTTCACGCAACAAGAAGGCACTGGTCAGCTGTGGGTTTTTTGACCTTGAACTTTCCAATTTCCACAACTGTGAAAAATAAATCTCCATTCTAGCCATGCAACTAGCCTCATTTAATGCAGTTTTAAAGGCCCCAGCTCCAAATACTGCCATATTCTGAGGGACGGGAAATTGTAGCTCCAACTCACATTTTGAAGAAACCTAGGCAGCAAGGGCTAGGATCTAGTTCACTGGTACAGTTCTTCCTTAGCATTCATGGGTCCCTGGTTTGGTCCCCAGAAAACTCCCCCCAAAAAGCAGCAATAAAGTTGTTCCTCTATGGCATCATTTTGTAACAACATAGGAAATTGATAAATATTTTTGTCATATTACCACAAATAAAAGGATTAGTAATGATATACTTTCATTTTATTTAAGTTTATGTCCATCTTTCTTTCAAACAATGCCTCCATTCCATATTACTCAGGATCAAGATAAATAAATTTTAGTTGTCCACATCTCAAAAGTGTTTTGGTGAACAAGTACCAAACAATTAATTATTCTATTTATTTCTGAAACTCATGAAAAAGAAATCAAATTAAATCACATCAAACTTTCAGAAGTTTAGTGGGAGCATAAAGCAGTCTGTATTCACAGTTTTACCTATATACAATTGAAAGATTTTGATGCACTTGATTTTTCCCCCCTGGTTCCCATTATATAGTTGACTACCTATCTGTTTCTATTCTGCATGCTGCAATTTTTTCTTGAATTTAATGTTCCAGTATATTGCAGATTAATCACTTAAACTGAATTTGGAGAAGTGAACTATTGGATAAAAGAACAGTGTTTGCAAGTCTTTTTATATCTACTAACTAATAGCTTTACTTTTAGGCATCTAAATTGCCCTCTTCACTAAGTAGTACAAGAGAAAACTTGTTTCCCTATGTTGTTCTCAGAGAGCTAAGATTTCTGATTCCCCCTTTTGTCTTTCTTTGGAAAATGCTAAAACATTTGGATAGCTCCAATGTAGACTTCCTTTAGTTCCTTTCAAAATTCATCTGCCTTAACTCAAAACTATTCATCTCTCCTAGGTCACCTTAAATCAATGTATATAGAAATCAATGTATATAGAATCCAATGTCACTAAAATTCAAGTAAACGTTAAATGGGCTTTGGAAGGGCAGGGATGTTTGTCACCTTTGGTTACAAATATTTCCCAAATGCCTGAAATACTGCATGTATCCAAAGAATAACGTCCAGATTTGCAGAGCCCTGAAAGGAATAAGATCAGTATTTGAAGTTGGTGATGGGCTAATCTCACTGCCAAAATGTTTTTCTCTTTGTTGGGGGCAGGAGCTTGGGAATTCCTAGCATTTCCAGATGTTTCTGAAATATCCTTTACTTCTAAAACAACACTTTCAAAAGAGTCCTTAGTCTATGGCACTTGTAAATTAAATAATTAAACACTCATCTTAAAATCAGTATCATTGTTAAATCAATGGCTATGGAATAGACCGCCTTCATAATTTGGGGATTGACCAAACCACAACCTTCTGGATATCCTTTACTTGACAGCAAAAGGAAACACGACTGATTCAGGTAGAATATAGCTTTCATAGCTTGTTTCATCAGCTTTGAAACTCTGCTGTGTCTCTGAACAGTACAAATCAATTATTCTGAGAAACACATATTTTCAACTTAGTCTACACAGCTGAGTAAGAATTCCAGGATTCAGAAAAATGTTCCCAACTTTCTAAGACATGAAATAGTTCTAAGAAACAGACAAGAGTACAAAAAATATATACAATGCTGATATTATTTCTTGTTTACATTCTGGCAGTTCTACATTGATTCCCGTAAATGCCTAAGCCTCTTCTCACTTTCACAGCCAAAGTGAACCACAGTGAGTATTATGCCCAGAAAACTGCAAGTAAAAATAATATATATTCATTCCTGAATTAAGCAGGCAAACTCTTTGCATAGCTTTTTACCAAAATATCCACTCTATTAGTGATATTAGAATAAATTGCCCTTGAAACAGAAAAATATCCCCAATTTAATAATTTCATATTTGACATCCAAAATATTTGACCAATATTATTGAAATTTAAAAATCTAAAAGAGCATTTTATTCATAAGGAGTTAATAAATCAGTAAGCTTACATTGAATGCTCACATCTTGAGTATACTGATGAATAGATGTTACAGTTTAAATGCAGATGACTCCCCTCTCTTTACATTAGTTACAATGTTTCATGTATGGATTTAACTCATAAAATGGTGTTTTGGGGCATGTAAGAGATGTTTTCTGATTTTCAGAAATCAATCATTGTAACAATGCAAGGAAAAGAGAACCACTACAGTCCCTACTAGATTTAAGGTCACTTGAAAAGAAGCATTCATAAAATGTGAAAATATTATGTCTAGCTATTATTTCATTTTAATAACTTTTAAATTCAACAGATTACTTGAGTAAAGTATGTATATATTTTCATTCTATATTTTTAAAAGCAATAAAATTTGTTCCTTACAAAGATACAAGAAGTCTTTCTTCAAGCTTTGCAACTGGTAATTCTACCTCCCCACCCCCTGCATTTCATTAACTGACCCAAAGATGACCTTGCTGTTGTCAAATGTTTCCTTTTGCCATCATCCTATTGGGTACAAAGTAGGAGGGAAATAGAATAGGACTCAAACTATTAATACCCGATAGTTAGTCTTCAGCTACTTTTCTTGGTCTTCTGTATAGCTGAGAGGCCAATCGAGACTTACTGCCAACCAAGCCCCTTCAGCCACAGTGAAGGTAAAGGTTCTCTTCTGCCCTGTGTGATTCCTTCCCACTGTGATTAATTGGAATGTGTGTCACCAACGCTATTTCAAAATCACATTTTCTTCCTTTTGCCTTATTGCTAATCTTGAATACATTCAAATATTGCTCTACAATTTATTTATAATCTAAACCTCAGATCTGAGATAGTATTATGATCAAATTTACTTTTAATTCTAGCTTAAAGTCACAGTTTGATATTGGCTAAATTATACATCATGAATTCTAAATAAGAAAGTTCCTACAACAGTAATCCTAACCCTAGAGACAATTGTGGACAGTAACTATTCAGAAAGTTGGACCTATACTAATAATCCAAATTGATCCCCAAATAACCTTCAAATTTTATCTCCACCTGAAAGTTGTAATTTTATTTTTTGGTGTAATCATTGTTTCAAAGCATGCCTTTTATATGCTCATGAAAGTTGCATTATTTTATAAGTTATGTCTTCTTACTAAGTGATGAAGACCAATGTTTACTGGTTTAAGGAGCCAATTGTGTAAAGCTTCATCTTAACCCTGATATTTATTCATATTAAAAATGGAAGAACCATACATTTTATAGAATGTTTTCTTTTTGTCTGTCATATCCTTTTGTGTAAATTGAAAAGGAATCTGTGATTCACCATGGAAAGATCATTTTTCAATCAGCAATCTTATGAAGTAACAAATAAGGTACATATATTTGCTTAGATTGCTCAGATTTGATTCCACAAAAGCTCTTTTCCATGCAATGGCTCTTTTAGAGGTAGTTTTGTAGTCAGTTTAGTACACAGCCTTTCTTGTCACCAAGGATTATCTGAGGAGAAGAAAACGGAGTCCAGTATGCTTAATACCTTCTCCTTAACCTAGAGCTTTCATTCTGTGATTCTTGCAAATCTCAAATTGCAGTGACTTGAGTGTAAACAAGTGTATTTGGAAATGTCTATAGCTCCAGCAAGATATAGCAGGCATTTACTTCACAAATACAACATGTACTTTAATACCAAAGTTTGAGGGGTCTCATTACTGTCCAAATGGTATTTTTTTAATCAAATAGGCAGATGTGGTACCACATTCTCTTGTCAAAAAATAAAATTAATTTATTTATCTTAATACTTTAATCAAAGACATCAAAATCATCATATTTGTCTTTTTTATGAAGTTAATCATATCACTTGTGATTACTGGAGAAGTAGATTTAGATTTCAACAAATGCAGCTTTATAAGGGCCAGGGATTTGGCTCAGTGGTTCGCCCATCTGCCATGCAAGCGCAAGGACCCGAGTTCAATCCCCGGTTCCAAAAAAATAAAATTTTAAAAAATGCAGCTTTATAACCCTCCACTCCCTGCTCCACTTTACATACTGTTAGACTTATGATGGATTGTAGAATTTCAGGAATCTCTTAGTTCAAACTCTTTTGTTCCAAGTAAGAAATTTAAGGCCCAGGAAAAGAAGATTAATTGCTCATGGTTAGACAGGGCTAGAACTCAGTCCTTCACCACAGGGTCTGTTCCACATTGACGTGTTACCTGTTATTTCAATGCCATGACTCACTCTTTACATAGCATTTAATGTCCTACTTCTTTTGCTCTAATTTTTTTCCAATTTTATCTTTCCTTCTTACACAAAACTTCAATCAAAATGCCCACTGATATTCCAGAACTTTCTCCTTTGCTTGAAATGTTTGTTTACCCACTGAACTCTTCATAAGGAAGCCTCACCGAAATGTCCTCTTCTACACAAAGACTTTGCTAATTCTCTTAACCAAAACATTATATTGGTAGAAAACCATTTTCCTGTTATTTTCCACTTAGTTTCCTCTCAGAGGGATTTATATATGTTGCCACTCTCATCCCTAAAGTCAACGCTATTTGTTGGTAAGACCTATATCAGATTCACTGTGACAACTCAACATCTGGCCTAGTATTTCATTATTGGGAGATTCTTGTTATAAAATTAGATGAGCAGATGGTTAAATTTGTCCTGATACTTTCAGAAATATTATAAAAAATTACATTTAAAAATTTTACTCCAAATTTGATGTTTCTAATGGTTTTTGTTAGATACTTTGTTAGCCAAATCTGCCTTTAAATTTGGCTTTTTTTCTTAAACATTATATCCAAATCACTCCAGAATTATCAGTAATAGATACTTATAATTTAACTTTTTTCATTTTTTAGGTGCAATGATGAAAAGTTTTCTTCTAGTTGTGAATATCCTGGCATTAACTCTGCGTTTTTCGGTGAGTTTATCTCATTTAACCAGTTAGCAGTAAAGCTCTAAGAAAATTTCATTTAAGGTCTCTAATTATTCAAATTTATAAATGCAGTTATACTTCATGGAACAAATTAGTTGCATCATAGTTATTTTTGTACTTATTTGTAAAATTAAAGTAACATTCTTCTGGATATTCATAGTTACTATGAATAACTACGTCATGTGTAAAGTCCTCCAAATTCCTATGCTATACAAAACCATACATTCTGGGGGGAAATATGAAGATATTTTTAAATTATAAATGTTCTAGTGATAATTCATAACAAATAAAGAAATCACAATGCAGGAACAAAAATTCTTTCAATTAAATTTTCATATCTTCCAGGCTACAATCTCTTTAGGGAGTTAATCCTTAAAAGATCTGGGGTTTGGTTAAGCTTTGGACCACTTTCAGAGACCTTGACGCTTCTGCCTAGCCTCACATCCCAGTCATCAATTTCTCTTAGGCTGTGCTCTCCCCTTTAATTACCCGCTTGCTCCTTCCCAGGGGTCTGGGTTCATACACAGCTGCAAAGCTGGCAGGCACTGTCTTGAATTACTGCATTTAAAGATGGACCCAGAGAATGGTTCTCTTTCTTCTCTTTTAATTTATTTATGTTTTTTATGGTATTTTTAGCTATTACTGGATCTCATTTCTTTCAGAAAGTCTAAGCACTTTCTGAAAGTGCCAAGAGCACAGATAATAGTTTATGCCCTCCTGTAAAGATTATAAAGTCTGGAGGGCAATGGCTCTTACTGCATTTACTATTAAGTTTAGATTGTTTTTAAGTTAACATCTATTACATGTATCAGTCAGGTAAGTTACTGGATTCAAAATTACTTTAAAATTTTGTATTGCTAGGATATTTGACTTTCTTTTCTTTCACTTCTTCTTTCAAATTACATTTTATTGTGGCCTTCTGAACCTTAAGAACTTGGGATTTTGTGAAGTAACAGGAATTAAAGTTTGAATCATAAAATGAGCCACAAGTCCCTGCTCTGTGGCAACTTTTCTCTGAACTCTGAACTACTTTGTCTCCAAACTTTTCTTCACATTTTCACAAATGTTTTGCACCAGAAGGACATAAAGGAAAACTTCAAAAGAAGAATTAAAGATTACAGATTTGTATCCATTTTGCTATGAATGACTCTAATTTCTCATTCTTTATGGCTGAGTAGTATTCCATTTTATAGAAAAACCACATCTTCTTTATCCAGTTTCCAACTGATGGGCAAATGGGCTGTTTCCAAGTTTTAACTATTACAAACTGTGCTGCTACATTTTGAGGATATGCTCCTAAGTGAAATAAATAAGTCACAAATGTGTAAATACCAAATAGTTTCTCTGGTGTGAAAAACTATAATAGTACTAAAGATCCTAATGGGATAATTAACAATGTGAAATAGGAAGAAAAGGTCTAAAGGTGTAGGGAAAGTGGGAAGGATAGGGGAAGGGGAAAAGAAAAACATGTGAGAAAATTTAAAAATGGAATTAAAGTGTTTGTAAATGGGGAGGGAAAGGGGGGGTGAAGGGAGAGTAGGGACAAGGAGAAACAATGAGAACCAAGACATGTCATGTAAAGGTACAAGATCCCAGTAATGAATGTAACTGTATTGTATACCTAGAATGTACAAATAAATTCAATTTTTTTAAAAAAATTACAGATTTTACCATTCACTGTTATTAGCGGTCACAATTACATAAGTTAAAATAACAATGGGACACCATCTTTTACATGCTAATCTATCTCTGCCAAAAATTAAAATACTGAATATGATATTTAACAAAAAAGTAAACTCTACCTTGCTTCTTTTTTTTTCTTTTTATTTCCCCCAGAGGGGTGCCTTGCTTCTTTTTAACTTCCTACTTCTCATTACTTTTTTTTTTTTTGGTAACTTCTCAGGCTGCAGAGGAGCCAAACCAGGAACAACCAGCAGTAAGTTTCATTATTTCTGTTAGAGAAGTGGACTCTAAAATGTATTCTGCAAAGACTTCCAGATACCTTCTGTCTATAAACTAAATAAATATTCCATCCCCACAAAATAATCTGATCTTTAAAAAAACCCAAAAATGAAAAATCTGCTACTTTAACAATAGATAATATGCCTGTACCTCAATGTTCATCCGACAGTCATCTGAAAGTCTTGGCTTTATCATATAGCCCAAGTCATATATCTTTGGTTTTAATATATATTTAGCAACATGAGAAAATTCTTTCAATATGTAATATTGGGAGAAACCCAGAAACATAAATATTTCTTTTGTCCACTTTTAAGACTTGGGAGTGATTCTATCTTTGACCTATCTTTGAATATTTCTCATATGTGTGTGTGTGTGTGTGTTTATAACATCCTTTATTTCCCAGATATGTGTGAGTGAATACTTTATATATGTTTTCTTTTACAAGAAATGTAATGCAGTTTAATTTTGTTCATTCATGAATGCCTGCTGACACATTTTTCTGAGTGCATATTATTTGTAGGACAGAGGCAAATGAAAATAGAAAATACTCCCTTTGATCTTCTGTGGGGAAAATTAAACAAAAAAATCAAGAAATCCTCCTACATTTTACAATTTACTGTTATAATTAGTTTAGGGAAAATAAAGCTTGCTATCCCCTGGGCTAGTCTCTAGATAAACAGAGTTTGGGGGCAGTGACAAGCATACAGTAAGAATGTGTGTGCTTTTGTATAGTGTGTCCATTTTTATGAGATTATTCTATATATTTTCTATGTTTTTTATGTAGCTATAATATTCTGCATTTACTTAGCACTTTCCCTATATGCTAACATCTGGGTGAGATGGTTTACATGATAAATTACCTCATCTAATTTGTTTGAAATGAATATTATTTCTTTATTATTGAAAGTAATATCAGAATCATGAAGTGAAAGTGAGTTGCACATATTTATATCTTATAAAACAATAATGACTGCTAGGCTTCATCCTACCAATCTTGCATTGACTCAAACATCAAATATGTTACTACAAACAGTGTTGATTTATAGTATCTGTAGATTTTACTCTACAAGTAACACCTTTCTGCCATGGTTTATTCTTTTTTTCAGTGCTGTGAAAATGATGAAAGGCTGTTTAGTCAAAAAAAAGTCCTATATATCCTAAGTCATCCTGTTCTAAATAACTATCTTCATAATGCACCCAATTACTACCAAAATAGAGCAGTCATACCAATTAATCCATATAAGTGTCACCCATATTATGCACAATTATTTGTACTTAGGCCACAAACCCAAGTTCCCCAATGGCCAGTCCACCAGCTTACCATGCTACATCACCCCACCAAATACCCACCATTCATAGTCATTCCTGAAAAGAAAATTCCAGAAAAGGCCACTACCCCTACTACTGACACTACCAGTACCCCGGAGCCTGTTTCAGTTCCTGCTGCCACCACAGACTTTCCAGAACCATCCGCAGAGATCATCCACACCCCTGAGACTTCCACGGTCCCAGTTACTTCACCCGTGGCATAAAAACAGTAAGGAAACATCGAAGGAGACAACACAGGTGAGTGAATCCAGAAAACAAAAATAGGTTTATCAGCACAATCATAAATCTTAAAACACTACAAATAAATTAGATCATGGGAGTAGATAAAATAGGCTAATTATAATTTTAATTTAGAAGACCCATAGTACTGATAACTGTTTTTGCAAGAAAGGAAAATAGTTTTATTTTACAAAATGAAACAAATTTTCTGACAATTGGAACATTCCTAGAATCCATTTTATCCTGTTTAAATACAAATAATAATTGTGGAATGAAATACTGTGTGAAGCCTCCTGATTTTTATCCAAAAAACAAATTTTCTTAAATTACACAGAATATGTAAGTTTAAATGGATTTTAATCTTACGACAAACTTGAGAACTATAATTCTGGAATAAATAGGGTGAAAGGAAATGATGTACTTCCTATGCACTTCTTTGCTTCAATCATCATTCCAGGGAAGACCCATGAAGTTAGGCATCAAAATTTTCCCTAAGATTGACCTGTGAAGGAAATCTAATGCTTAGCTTGAAAAATACTAAATGTGTACTTCCAGAATATGAAATGTAATGCAAAATGTTATTTATTTATCATTTTGACCAATAGATAATAGTGGGATGTGAAACAATTTGAAATGTCTAGGGAGCTAAATAAGAAAAAGAGTAATAAAATAGAAATGTTCCCAAGCACTGTGAAATAATTTTGAAAGAAAGCTACAAAATTTTGAGTTTCTTTAGTTCATCAAGCTAACTATGTATTTTATGAAGCAAAGCCCCACACAATGGTCTGAAGTGAGCTCTGAAAGGACTGGCAGGGCTGGGAAAGGCTCCTCCTCCATGTCTTCTCCTCGCATCCTTAGCCAGCCACTGCTCTCTCTCTCTGAAATTTCATTTTTTCATAGTATGGGTTACTTTAAGGTTCAAAACAGAACATGTGAGAAATGTTTTTGGAACAATTTTTAAAAGAGATGAACTATATGGAACAATTTTTAAAATGTCAATTTGTGAAACATAACAAAAAAGTAAAGTAAAATACATACTAAAATTTATTTTTAACAAATACCCTATCTTTACTTAATAATAAGAACTTTTTGTAACTAGATTAATTGATTCCTACCACAACCAAATGAAGCAGTTTTTATTATTCTCCCAAATTTAGAAATGGTAAAAAGAAAGTAGACCTATCGATATTAATTACCACAAGTAGAAAGTACAGAATGGGAGTTACACTAAACTTGTTTAACTTTAAACAGTGGGGCTTAATTACTATGCTATGTATTTCTGTATATGATTTCCTATATATGATTATGTTGTTTAGTTGTTATTCAATAGCATATTTTAAGAAAAGGATAATAAATGACAAATATTTGACTTATCCATTGTCAGAAAATAACATAAGAAAATAAATGGAATCAACGTGATAGCAAGGGATTTAGTATGTAGTTCTGTACATTTTTCTCCAAAATTATTATTACCTACTGTGTTTCTAATGCAGCAATCAGTATTCAGCAATTCTAATGTCCTGAATTAAAACCACTGTCTATCACTTACAAAGAAGTATTCAAATGACATTGTCTGTTTTAAAATATTAGGTGAAGTCTATTATTTTCATCTCACTATAGTTCATTCTAAATATTTAAACTGGAACATTAGAATTGGCATATTCCTTGGATGCAGACATAAGAGAACGATCATGGAAATGAAATAAAAGTTTATATATGAGAACCATTAACACACTATTAACTGAATTTCTAAATTGTCATTATTTTTTATAGGTTGTGCTGAAACCAGATGACTATTTCAAACTTTCTTTCAGCCATTTTTCATCTTCATGCAAAAGAAAATATGATTCTTCACAGATCCGGCTCCTCTCTCTTCTCCCCTTACCTATTATACTCATGTCGTTTAATTTTTATGATTCTTGCACAATAAAGTCCACTGAATTCAACTGAATGTCATAATTTAAAAAGGGTCTGCAGAGATGCCTTAAGGCTCTTTGGCGCCTTTGCCTTCTGAGGCAAACATAATGATAATTTGAGTACACAATTTGCCTGTAGGCAGAGATCACAATTTCACTGAGTCCTCAAAGGGATCCATAGTTTAACAGTGCTCAAGAACTGTTCTCTCTAGGCTAACATCTGTATGGTTTGTGTCAAAATACACACACGCACACACACACACACACACACACACACACACACACACACACACACATACACAGGCCTCAAAGCTTCTAGGCCTCGGGTCCTTTGATCTAAAATAAAAAATAATTAATTTTAAAAGTCTAAGGACATGGCATAGTTTTTCCCTTAAATAAACATTGCAAGGAAAATTAGTAGCCATTTATTGGTCCACAATCAGCACATTCTGGCAAGAAAAATAAAAATCACTAGTACACTAGTAAATAAAAACGAAGTACTTACTGGTCACTCATCTAATCTATACAAAAATCTTCCACAGATATGCTATAGTACAACTGATTTATAGAAAGAGAGACAGAGACAGAGACAGACTGGACAGACCGGGACATCCCTGTGTCCCTCAGTACCAGCCACCAACACCACTGCCTGCTCATCTGTCCTTAGGACACAGGTCTGATGGGCAATGGGTTGTATTCACTCTGCCAGTGCAGTGCAGCCAGTACAGTGCACGCACTGAATAAACAGATGATAAACAAATAGGTAAGTAAATGCAGAAAAAGAATGGTTAATGTATGAAGTATCAAATTAAATAGCATAGGTTTTTCTTACCAAAATCCAGAAAGAAAAGCAATGTGGACCTTACCAGTATCTTAGTGAGTATGAAGGAAAGCTACTAAAACCAAGGATGCACTGTAAGTGAATTCTATACTCACAAAAGCACTGTGCATCATACTACCAATCCCAAAAACATTCAAGTGCAGACAAATAAATTTTATAATTTTATATTTCAAGGAATGAAAGCTGAATGTCAATAGAACAATAACCAAAATGTGATATCAGAAGTACCTATTGTCTTAACTCTGGAGCATGAGTTAAAAGACAGAGATGGCGGTATGCTCCTCCTAATCCTCCCATGCAATGTAGCACAGTTTTGCCAGATTATGTAATAATGCAATAAAGATTACAAAACACATAGTCAAGGATGACGAACAAAATACATTTACAAGATTAAGTGTCTTTCTTGTATATGACTATTTTACTGGAATAGACTAAGAAGTTCCAGAAAATCTTGAAAGCAAGACAAAACTCTTAAATATGCCTGTAAAATAAATGTTTTATTGTACTAAAGTATTTCCCATATTAAAAACCATTTTAACAATTTATCACAAAATAACTATAACTTCTGTTGGGATGGGAAAGATAAGGACATTAAAAAATAAAACAGTGATGTGCCTCATGCCATAAAAATGATAAACTTTGAATTTGTCATTGAATTATATAATTTTATAAAGAATAAGTTATTTGTCTTCTAAAAAGATATAACGGTAGAATATAATATTTCTGTAAGAAAGAACACAATTTCTTCAAGACATTTGACCCTTTTCACTCAGCATGAAACCCCACCAGTAGTAACCATATTAAAAGTTTCACGGTCCAACTCCAATAGGAAGGAAGTAGAAGGGACAACAGAATGAGAGATTTACTCATTAAAAGGTGCTCTGTATACTGGAGAAGAACAAGCACAGTAAATAGAAGGCATGTCTGACCAGAGCAAAGAGGAGAATCCCTTTCTAAGGAATCTATACATACAGGAGTTTGGGACACACATTTTTCCTTCAGGGTTTTTCACAGTGTGACCAACACGTCATTAAACTAGTGAAATGGACAATTTATACACATTGATTTTGTTTCAGGTACGGTTGGATCAATTACAAAACTATTGACCCTAATAGTCACTCTAAAGTATGTTTCTTTTATAAGGATCCACACTTACTGTGTTACTGCCCAAGGAGTCTTAATACATGATGAAATGATGGTAAACTAAATAATATATACATCACTGTGTTATTAAATATGGATTCTTTTTTATTTACTTGTGGTATTTTCATTCAATAGGATTTACATCCAACAAAAACAAAGTTATGTCTACATAAAATCATACACTTGGGAGTTTATTGCACCTTTGCTTACAATTTAGAACATCCAAGATCTCCTAGCCTAGATAAAGGAAAAATCAAATCATAGTTCATCCAAAGAATGGAATATTATTCACCACTAAGAAAAAATGAGCTGTTAAACCTGGAAAACAAATGCATACTACTAAATGAAAAAGACATCGCAGAGAAGACTACATACTTTGATTTCAACTCCATGACATTCTGGAAAAGGCAAAACTATGGAAACAGTAAAAAGGTCAGGGTTTACCATGGGACCCAGGAAAGAAACGAATTAGGTATGGAGGACTTTTCAGGCAGTGAAGCCATTGCGTGTGATATTACAATGACAAAACTATATTGTGGTACTCGGTCAAAATCCATACAAGGTGCAACACTAAGAGTGACTACTAGATGAAAACAAGGAGTCGGTGTGAGTTCATCGACCGTGAGAAGTCCACAGCAGGGGAGAGTGAACCCGCTGAGGTGAAGAGCGGGACATCGTAAACCGCTGCAGTGGGGAAAGCAGGGACAGCATCATATGGGGCCTCACTGCACCTGCCACTCAATTTTTCTGTGAACCTAAATCTACTTTTAAAAGAAAGTAAATGGAAACCAAATCTGCAATAAAACGCCATCTTAACTTGTAGCATTATGTAGCCATTACTGTAGAATTAACAAGTTATACCTTTATTTATGTATCTAGAAATTATTAACATGGGTTCCAAATGGCACGGGAAGAATATAACAAGATCTTAGATTAAAAAGAAAATTTACTTTTCCTTGATAATAAAATGAAAAGGAAAATTCCTATAATTCAAATTTATAATCTAGAAAGGATTTTACAATACTCTCAAATTTATTTAAGCAACTTTATTACTATTTTGTAAGTAATTTCAAGTTCATACAGG